TAAGATAACCTAAAAGATTATTTTCTATATGGTTTTAAGGTTTAGGTTAACTTTTATACATCCACACCCCATTGTATTTCAAATGTTTTGGCCTATGACAAAATAAGCCCAAACCACAAATCTTTTGTATTAACCATTTGCTATGACCATGAACCCACAACTTATAGCTAAGTAGTTCAGTTTTCTCACTAGCAAGAAGCAATGCTTGCTGAAGTGAAAACCTTAAAAAATAATCATACTTGGGACTTAGTCAATTTACCCTTTGAAAAGAAACCCATTGGTTGTAAATGGGTCTATAAGATAGAGAGAAGGGCTTATAGTTCTATTGAGCGGTACAAAGCTAGATTGGTTACAAAGGGGTATACCTAACAATCTGGCATTGATTATTTAAATACCTTCTCCCTAGTTGCAAAGCTGACTACAATAAGAACATTGTTGGTAATTGCTGCTATTAAGGGATGGTTTTTGCATGGTGATTTATATGAAGAGGTGTATATGATACCTCTTCCTGGTTTTTGTATTACTCAACCGAACCAGGTATACAAATTAAGAAAAAACCTCTATAGTTTAAAGCAAGCAAGTCGGCAAATGCATCTTAAGCTTACTAATGCATTGAAAAATAATGGTTTCCTTTAGGCTCATACTGATTCTTCTTTATTTTTGAAGCATATAGATTCTAGATTTATAGCTCTCATTATCTATGTTGATGATGTAATTTTAGCAAGCAATTGCATATATGAAATTAAGTCTATAAAAGCTTATTTGCATGACATGTTCAAAATTAAAAACCTTGGAGAATTGAAGTTTTTCTTTGGGCTTGAAATTGCCGGGTCTAGTACAGGTATTAATTTGTGCCAAATAAAATATACTCTAGACTTGTTGATTAAAACTAGATTCTTGGGCTGTAAATCAATTTCTAGTCCAATAGTTTTTTATCTTAAATTGATGAGGTAGGATGGTTCTCCTTTAGTTAATGTTACTGGCTATAGACAACTCACTGGTAAATTACTTAACCTCACTCATACGAGGCCTGATATTTCATATGTTGTTCAACAATTATCGCAATTTTTAGGTGCACCCACTCAAATACATCTTCAGGCAGCTCACAGAATATTAATATACTTTAAAGGAACATCTAGACAAGGTATTTTTTATCCTGCTAATAATTCTTTACATTTTAAAGTTTTAACAATTCTGATTGGGCATCGTGTTCTGATTCTTAAAAGTCGAATATTTGATTTTGTGTTTTCTTGAGAGATGTCCTTATTTCATGGAAAAATAAAAACAACAAACTATGTCTCGGTCTTCTTCTAAAATGGAGTATCAGGCACTTGCTCTAGTCACTTGTGAATTACAATGGCTATAATATTTACTCACTGATCTATGCATTCCATTCCAAACTGCTGCATTATATTGTGATAATTTGTCTGCAGTTAATTGTTGAAAGTCCTGTATTTCATGAGCGGACAAAATATGTTGAAATTGATTGTTATGTTGTTTGCCAAAAGTTATCCGAAGGCCTTATTCACTTGTTGCCTATTTCCTCTTTGTATCAACTAGCCGATTGTTTTACGAAGGATCAATTTAGATCTCAGTTCAAAGTTGTCATCTCTAAGCTGGGTATACAAAATTTGTATACTCCCTCTTGAGGGGGGCTATTAGAGTAGTAATTGATGATTTAATAATTATATGTAATTTTATAAATAGTTAAAATTCAGAGTACTTTATGTAAATATAAAAAGTTTTACTTTCTGTATAAATACTCTCTCAATCACAGTTGAAGAACGAAACATCATTTTTACTCTATCAGTTGTACTGCTTAAGTCTCTCTCTTTCTCTCCTTCTCTCTCTTTTGAAACACTTCAGCTTATTTCCTGAAATTTCATACTGAATCTTCTTCCATTCTTTACAAAATTGCATCAGATTTAATTGTCTTTTTTTGCTTAAATCATCTATATTTTTTCATGAAATCTAACACTCTTTAAAGTAGTTGTTTTCCAAATTAATGTAACGAGCCGTTATTCCACTTCTTGATTCTTCCTAACTATTGTTAGTCGTTATTCTAACACTTAAATTTTTTTTTTTTAAAAATATTTAAATATTCTTTCGAGTTATTATTATCTATTACTAATTCATTTGTTGTTGTTAGCAGCCATTGGCAATTTGAGTTTCAAAATTAAAACTGCTTAAACTAGTAGTTAAAATCTGTCTATAAATTCCTTACATGTACGTCTATATTAATACATACCCAACATTACCATCAGACCATCTTATCTTATTTTGTTCATTTATTGTTATAAGTGAATTATCCTTAATGACAGTCCATGTAATCCTCAAGTTACATTGAATTCATCCAATTTTTACAGCTATTTGGTAAACGACATGTTTCATTTATCTTATTTTTTTAAAAGAAAAAACCAGTAAAATTTGTACCACAGCAGCACTTAAATAACCACCATTGTATCAAGTAGTGAAGTACTAATTCCCTAGTAGTAATGCACAATAGGGGAACATTGAACCCAAGATTTAAAGCTCACGAAATGCGCATATACATATATATATATATATATATATGATGCGACTCAACAGTGACAGCACTGTCTATTGGTAATTAATGAAAACTACATCTGCGTGGATAGTTTACGCCACCCACTTGGTAGTTTCTAATATTAATGATGGTGCATATGTATTGCGTGTAATTAAGGTCCTATTTTTTAGGGTGAACGCAATTAAGTATGTCATCCTATAAATGATATAGAAATGGCCAGATATAAGATATGTACATATATATATACACACACACATATTTACACATCTCAATGTGAAATAACCAAAACTTTAAACAAGCAAATGACGCGCAAGTATATATATATATATATATATGTATATTATAAGTATAAATAGGAACTTTGCAAAGTGAGAAGGTCAATTTAAACATATGTATACATTTTCAATTTAATGTTATGATAATTGGTAATATTTGAATATTTGATAGATAAAATATTTGAACTATTAATATATATGAGATTTCATTAGGATTAAAAATTTTGACGACGCAGTAGATGATCGCTATTGGAGATCACAGAATCAGCAATTTGTTTGATCATGAATTCATGGACAAAGAAAAATTCGATCCCGTTTTCAAACAGGGAGAGGGGGATGAGAAAGAAGGTGCTATGCCCTATCCCCGATTATTCAATTAATAGATAATTGTACTTTTATTTCATATCCATATATAAATATTGTAAACGTTTTATACATTGAAGATTTGAACAATTTGATTTAGATTTAATATTTTCTTATTGTTGTCTTACTTATACAATTTGGGCCAGTACATTCATTAAACAATTTGAACATTCAATATTTATGTTCAAAAAAATTGTAATTGTATTAAACTTAATTTATGTAAAAACAGTAAGAATAGATGAGAATCCCAAATCAAAATCCTCAGTTTCGTAAGAAGCATCGATGAGATTAAAAAAAAAAAAAAAAGTATCTATTTGATCAATAACAAGAAATGGAGAGACTAGCAAAAATAGAAATGGGGAGGAACCTCTCCTAATTTCCGTTCTTATTTTTTATAATTATTATAACTTATGTTAAAATTTTCAGTATTATTTTTTCCAAATCATAATAATGGGTGGGATATTATCAAAATCTTTAACGCAGAAACATTATATATTCACTGACAAATACAAGATGGAAGTAATTAATTAGTTGTATTTACAAAGAAATGAATTTATTAGAATATATCAGGTTAGGCTTAAAAAGATTGTAATTATCGAAATGGAAAAGATATATTTGAAGTATTAGATATTTAAGTTATTTAAACGAGATAATTTTCTATTTAAAAATAAGTATTTATTTCTTAAATAAATTGCTGGTGTTTAGCAAAAATTAGCAGCCATTTTTAATTAAAAAAAAAACAATATATTGATATATTACAAAGTTGTTTACATTATTTTGCATGCATATTTTTAATTCTAAGAAGATATTAAGGGGAGAATCAAGTACTTAGCTAGATTAAAAAAATAAAAAACCTATACAACTGGAATTAAGGTTCTTATTTTCTCAAACTTCGCAGTCATCCTTAAGAAGTTAACAAACATTCTAATATTTTATATTGGCTAAATGTAACAATTGAAGTAGACATAGTTAAGACTTTTTATAGACATTAAATAAACAATCCCAAACAAATTAAATATAATAATAAATAATCTCAAACACTTTTAACATCTTAGTTGGAGGAATGGTATTTTTTTTAATCTTTACGAGTATATGGGTTCGATTCTAGTTTTTTTATCCTGTGTGTATTTTAATTAAAAAGTAAGTTGGTTCTGTTATTCTTTTGTTAGTATGTTAATTTTGTTATTACCAATATTATAAAATATATAAATTTTTATTAAAAAATATAAAGTCACATGGATATAACCCTTAATAAGTTGAGAGAGAGAGAGAGATTGTTTGTGTGCAGAAAGGCTTTTGGTGTAGCGCATAAGAAGATAAGAAGGAATAATTTGCAGGGAAGTAAAACATTCCCTTTAGCGTTTACTGATTGACCAGAAACAACTCTTCCCCTAAACACAAAACAAAATTGAATGCACACCACCCGACCTGCTCAAAGACTGTGATCTACACCGAGCAACAACTTTAATTTTTCCTTCAGCTTATCCAAACATTAATTAATGGAAGGAACAGATAGATCAGTATCAGCAAATTATCAACTTCAAGTTTCATTTCCTGCAACACAATCCATCAACCACATGGGTTTCGTCCAATTGGAAGAAAACCAGCTTTTGAGTAATAATTTCTTAGGCTCCTCTTCTCAACCTCTCAATAATTTTTCTACACATCATCGCCAGGTACTTTTTCTTTTTTAATTTTCTTTTTTTCTCTTTCATTTCGTTGTCTAGATTTAATTTCTTTTCATCTGATCTAATTCATTTCAGGCTGCGGACACAGTGAATCATCCCAAAGTTAATGAAGAAAATTACACAGCCAATGCCAACGATGCTCATACTTCATGGTATTCTCTCACGTGCATGCATAAATTTATCTGTATATGTACTAATTAACTAATATTCTTCTAAGATATCTTCAAATAGAATCTAAAGAGATCTGAGTTTGATCTTATATATACATAATTATCAAAAAGTCTCTCTCTCTCTCTCTATATATATATATCGTGGAATAATTATTGTCTTCATCAGTAGATCTACCTTTACATCATGATTTTTTAGGGGTTTTTGATTAATAGTACTCTTGAAATTAAACCCACTTGTGATTTTGCAGGTGGAGGAACTCGACATCAGAGAAGAACAAAGTGAAGGTGAGAAGAAAGCTTCGGGAACCCAGGTTCTGTTTCCAAACAAGGAGTGATGTAGACGTTCTAGACGATGGGTACAAATGGAGAAAATATGGGCAGAAAGTTGTCAAGAACAGCCTCCATCCAAGGTAATTAATTGATTAATTTATTAAACACCCACAAGATCATAATAATTTTAGATAATTTAACACAATTTTATTTTTTTTAAACTTGAGAACTAATTTCTTTTTTTGAATTCCAAAATGCCATATGTTACATGAGATCTTAATTAATCTTATTACTCAATATTGCCTCAGCTAATGCATATTAATGCATTAAGATATATATATATATATATATATATATTATTCATATATAAAATTAACAAGACCTTCGGATGTCGATGATAGTTTACAAGTACACTGAAGGCATGCTTTCTTATATATATCTACATATATATTATATAAACCAATTTCCTTCTTTCAAAACTATCATCAAGGGTGAATGAATATTTGCAGTACACTGTCATACGGCCACTAGGCTTTTTAATCATTTGGGTAAGAAAAAAAGAGATGAGGGAGTGTGTGAGCCACTGTTCTTAATCGTGGACGTGATCTCTTGTCTCTAACTTGGTGGGAATTTATATATATATATATATATATGTCATTTTGTAATTATTTTCAACGTTGGCTTGTCTGATTCAACTGCTTTTCACATCTTTCATCAATTAGTTCCCCATATTATCAATAAGCTCTTAAACGTTTCTCTTAAAGATTTTTTTGACTTAGATATACAATTAAATAGTGAACGAAATTCAATTTTCAACATTTGGTACATGAAATATCGTTTTTAGTTGTGGTTTTCACATATGAAAATTATATATATATATATATATATAAAGTCATCTTAGTTGAAAATAAAGATTAATTGTTAAAAAGAATTACTATGAAATTGTTTTGAAAACAATAAAGCGTCATTTCTAACATTTTCAAAAAAAAAAAAAGTATTTAATCTGCATAGTTTTGCATAATATTAAGTATCATATTGGTATGGAAATATTTAAATATAATAACATAACTTCACATATAATACACTCTTTATTATATGTGAACATATAAAATGTATGATACTTACAATAATAGTTGTATATGCATACATATCTATATATATATTTCCATAACATTTATATAGGAAATACAGTGACAAACACACGATTTTTCTTTCATTTATATAGGAAAGCCATGAAGATATGCATGCATCCATTTGCATTCATTTACTGCACTTACACTAAAAATCCTAGTTTGGTTACCAACTAAATAATCTTGAATTAAGTTGCATCTAAATAATCAGTTCTTCTTAAGTAATAAATAATTAGTTCTTCTTAAGTAATAGAATGTAATCAATTATCTCAACAATTAAACCAAATAGGATGGCTCAACTTCTTTTTTCAGTAAAATTGATCTTTTTTTTCAAGTGTATTTACATATTTATATACACAAGTGCAAGTCTAGCTATTAAGTTGTTAGCATTTTAAACATAAATATATTTTGTTTTGGCTGCTTTTCATAATATTTTAAGTAATGATTATTGACTAATTATTTCAAAATTTTAAATGAATAGAATTAAATCCATTATCTATACATTAATAGCTATATATATGATGGAAATCCTCAAATAGAAACTTAGAGAATTGTATCAGCAACTATACAGCAACAGGCAGGCACTGGAAATTTTTGGATATAAATGCATGAATGAGTTTCACTTTATTATCTAAGTTGTATGTAATCAAGTCCTTATCATATTTTTTTGCAATATATACATAATTGTTACAGAAGCTATTATCGATGCACGCATAATAATTGTCGAGTGAAGAAGAGAGTGGAACGATTGTCAGAGGATTGTCGAATGGTAATAACAACCTACGAAGGTAGACACAACCACACTCCTTCTGATGATTTTAATTCATCAGAACATGAATGTTTTACTTCATTCTAGTTAATTACTCAATACAAGTAATTAATCTTGATCTTGTTATGAATTATATAATTAATGTAATTGCGGTATTTATGTTTTACCTTGTGACATGTTTGTCACCATCTCCTTCTCCCTTAGGGTACTTAATTCCATACAATATATGCATACCTATATAACTAGGCACTATATAATTATATATGCGCGTGTGCTAATTAATTTGGTTCCATTTTATTTATTTTAATTTATCTCTTTCTCCTGTAACTAAATGTATATAGATATGTATATCCTCTAGTTTTCAAATATATATATATAAATATGAAACATATTTTATTTTTTAAAATCCAAAAACATATATTTTGTATATAGAGAGTTGAATCATAACCGTACTTCACTAAATTTGTTCCATGTACTAAGTATAGAATATGATTTTAAAAATTTCTTTGTATATACATAAATATAAAATTAATATTATGTTATATGAATAAAAAATTATATAGAAACAAAAAGTTCAAAAAAAATGCTAAAAAGTTATCATACCGTAACTTTTGGAAAAACATTTACAGAATGCAAGAGGTATGGAGAGAAAAACTAGTAACCTCAATATTTATATAGTGCATAATTTCAGAAGTTGTAATCAAATAAAAATAAATTGTATAACAATTATTATCAAAACATATTTTTATACTTAAAAAATTTAAATAAATCATAATTATTATATATTATTTTAATAATTAAATTAGTTTTATTTTAATATATTTAAAAATTATTTTATTTAGAGAAATTTAATTAGATAATTATTATGTATAATCATATTAAATATAATTTACTTAAAAATGAAGAAGTAACTCATATCATTTTTTAATTTTCTTTTCTATACAATAGATTAATCGTATCTCACAACTGAAACTAATATTACAGATCAAAATTAGTAAAAATAATTAAAAGAATAGGAGAAAATAGCTTTAGAAACAAATATATATTTATAAGTACATATGAAATGACAAATCAAAATCAAAATAGAAGTAGGAATGTCTATTTATACTAAATTCAAATATTTTTTTTTCTATATAACTTATATTGAACTAATTTTATACATTCCCAAAATAAGGTAGCTTAAGCTCTAGTACTAGAATGTTATTTTCGTGATTTTAGGATGATGTAAATTACAATTTTGTCTACAAACAAGTTGCATAAGTTCAGTCTTAGTTTCATCACAAAAATTTAAAAATATGACTTGGTTGTTGCAAATATGCAACATAGGTGTATGATGAGAAATGTTTACCTGCACATGGTGACTTATCCGATTGCAATTATGTTTTTGCATCAAATTTTAAAATTTTGTTCAATTCAATGTTCAATTCATACTTATTTTCTCAAAAAAAGAAAATGCTAATCATACCTACTTCATATGCAAGAGGATATTAATTTTAAATAATAAAAAATTAACCTCATATAGAATTGTAAATTTATCTCAAAATTAGTACTTACCTTGTGAGTTGATAAATATTATACTTAAAATGGTTAAGTTTGATACTACTTGGAATTTAATAGAGAATTGAAATAATATATATCATATTTCATTAAGGTTGACAAGCATTAGAATAAAAAAGAATCTTAGTAAGAGGAAGTGTAGAGTTGTTTATTAGTCATCTAAACATTCTAACATATTTAAATAAAAAAATAAATGAAGATTACTGGATACAAAAGATCAATAAATTCCTTCCGCCATTGCTTAGTTTGAACAGTTGGGTTACTTTTCATTTTTGTGTTGGATTCTTCTAAGCATTGAAGGACCTTATACAATTGAGCAACATACTGAAAGAGATTTTGTGGTTAGGTACCAACAAATATTGCTTCTATTTATAGATATTTTTTCATAAAAAACATAACTAATGCACAATTAATAGACAATTCAATTTTGTAATATTTTTCTTATAAAACTGTAACAGAATTACTTAATTCTATAATTTTTTCTCATTAAGAAAACATAATGGAAATATTTAATTCTATAATATTTTTTTCATTAAAAAATGTAACCAAACTACTTTATAAAGGATTTATAGATTTGAGTTATTATCGAACCATTAAATAAAAATAACTCACATTCTCCCACTTGGTTCATATATCTCATTAATAATACTCAAATTTTACAAATCATTTCTCCTAAAAAAAAAGGAAAACACATGAATAAGCCCTCTAAAAATTGAATATTATATTTCATTTTTTACTTCTTTAATTTTGCCCATTATTACTTAATGAATAAACCTTATGTTTATTTTAGGTCTAAACTTTAATGATATTTCTCAAAATAAACAAAAAAAAAGTGTACATAAGAATACCAAAATAAGAAACATTACAAACAAAGAGAATTTTATTAGCATTTGTTTTTATAATGAAATTTTCGTAGTGGAACCAAGTCCCATACGATCATATGATCCTTAAATATCAATAGTATCATCAATTTAGTTCTAACATGCTCTATGACCATTTTCTCATCTTTAACATGCTCTCTTATGGCTAAATACTTAATGTCGATGTGTTTATTTCGACTACCACTTTTGTTGTTTCTAGCCATGAAGACAGCAGCTGAATTATCACAGTATATCCTGAATGGTCTAGAAATTGAATCAATGATTCTAAACCTATAAATGAAACTCTTTAACCATACTCTGTGTGAGGTAGCCCAAAACATGAAACAAACTCAACCTCCATAGTAGAAGTAACAGTTAAGGTCTTTTAACACTCCTCGAGGATATAACTCTACTGGTAAACATTAAAATGTATTATGATGTTGATTTTCGTGAATCAACGCAACCAACAAAGCTTGAATCAGAGTAGTCAATCATCTCTAAGTTATCAGTTCGTCTATACATAAGCATATAATCCTACGTTCCTTGAAGATATCTTAGAAATTTCTTTATAACTGTCTAAAGGTGAATACCTGGATTACTCTGATATCTTCCTAACATTCTAAAAGTAAATGCAATGTTAGGTCTTGTGCAAATCTTTGCATATATTAGGCTTCTAAAAATAGAAGCATATGGAATGTTCTTCATTTGTTCCCTCTCTAAATCATTCTTCGGGCATTGGTTCAAATCGAACTTATCACCCTTCACAATGTGAGCTATACTTGGTGAACAATCTTTTATTCAAAACCTCTCTAAAATTTTGTTAATATAGTTTTCTTGAGACAGATGTATAATATATCAATTTATATCCCTAACTCTTAATGCCTATAACACAGGACACATCATCTATATTTTTATATCAAAAAATTTAAAAAGAAATTGTTTCACCTCATACAACATTCCCTTATTATTACTTGCAAGTAGAATATCATCCTCATATAAGATAAGGAAACAAATTCTGCTCCCACTAATCTTTTAGTGTATGCATTTATCCATAATGTACTCTATAAAACCAAATGAAGAAATAGCATTATAAAATATCAAATACCACTGACAGGAGGCTTGTTTTAATCCATATATGGATTCAATGTCATTTTCACATCCATTTGTTGTAGCTCTAGATCAAAATGAGTTACCAATGCCAATATAATTCATAATGAATCTTTCATAGATATAGGAGAAAAAATCTTCGTGTAGTTAATTTCTTCTTTTTGAGTGAATCCCTTTGCAACGAGACGTGTCTCGTATCTTCCAATGTTGCCTAATGAGTTTTTCTTTATTTTATAGACCCATTTGTAGGCAATGGCTTATGCACCACCAGGTAACTGAACAAGATCCCACACCTCATTCCTCTTCATGGAATTCATTTTACTTTTCCACGGCGTTGAACCATAATTTTGACTCTTACAGAAACTACGTTTGAAAATTGATTGTTCCCACTTATTAAGTCATTCTCAAGAAACTTTGCATTCCTTGACACCACAAACCTAATCCTGTGAGATGGATAATAGAATCTATATTCTTTAGACCTTTCAATATATCCAATGAAATACCCACTAATGTTCCTCGAGTCTTGTTTATTTTTTTTTAGGATTGTAAACTCTTACTTCAGACAGATATCCCCATACGCGTATATGTTGCAAACTCGGTTTCCAACCTTTGAATAACTCAAATGGTGTCTTTGGGATAGCCTTGGTTGGAACTCGATTTAATATACACCTCTATCTTAAGAGGTTTGACCCATAATGAATTAGGTAACTTAGAGCTACTAAACATACTACACACCATGTCCATTAAAGTTCGGTTCCTTCTTTTTGCTACCCCATTCTGGTCTAGAGAACTACCCCATTCTGGTCTTAGAGCTACTAGCCATAGTGTATTGAACACACATGATCAAAAGTTCATTAATTTGCCGCTTATCTTTTTATGTGTTGTATGAGATTTTGAAGGGTCCACACTACTGTGGAAGAGTGCTCAAAATGTAGTGCACAAGGAAAGTCATAGACATCTCAACCTCAAGTTTCTTGAGCTAAGTAATAATGTCTCTTATCTTCATGATGTGCTCATACCTTTCACACTAGTGAGCTTTAGGATGAAAACTTGACAATTACAGTGCTGGCAAGTGCCTTATTTAAAGTTTCAAATTGTTTATCAATTGCCTTCAGTAATGCTTTGACATCGGTATATTATTTGACAGAACCACAAATACTAATAAGAATTTTTTTAATGAGCATCACACTAAGGTGATTAGATTACTCCCACTGCTCATGAAGAGCAATTTCAATTGGAGTGCTAATTTAAAAAATTATTGGTTCATCTTTCCGAATAGCGTAGTCAATGTCCATACACTCCAAGTGGAGGAGATTTATTTCCTTCAAAACCTTATAATTTTCACAATTTAATTCGAGAATATTAATTTTAATATCAGAGAAATTTGCATGTTATATAACTGCCAAAATACATGTTTATCATTGATTAAGGCTAATTAATAAAAATATAATTTACCGATGAAAATCATATAAGTAATAAATTTAATGACATAAAAATTGTTTGCGGTTTAAATTTTTAATTCAACTAGATTCATACTTTATGGTTGAATTATCAATTTTGTTTCATAAATAATTTGATATTCTTTCCATTGCTCATGGCAAAACTATTAAATTCTGTTCCATAATTCATGTGGGTAGATTATGAAAATTTATCTAATATTTTATTCTAATCAATTATGCAAAATATAAT